AACCATTTCCATGCACAAACTCTCATTTGCAAAGAGCCAAAAAGTGGTCATTCAGCCCAGCTCAAGGATGTCCAGTACCTCCCACGGCAGCCCAGGCTACTACTGGATAGTTCTATTGCCGGGTAAATTCAACTGATGTCAAGACTGAGTTTGCCTTGGCTTCTTACACCCACCATTCCTACTTGTGATCTCTAGTACCAAGCAGAAACAAGTCCTTTTTCCCAGGCTATCCCTTAAAGACAGTTGCTGGCTCTTCCAGTCCTTTCACCTCCAGGGCAAACAGCCCTACTCATCAGGTGGCATAATCTCCTGGCCTTTCCCACTACTACTTATCTTTTTCTTGATGGTTTCCAGTTCATCCCCATGCTTCCTAAACTGTGGCCCCTCAGCCTGAACAGCACCAATGCTGCCCACACCACAAATAAACAAATGCACCAAGATGTTACAGAGCCAAATTTTATGGGAATGATGCTAACTTTTCCAAAATAGCAATTGGTGGTTATTGCAAGAGATTGCCATCAGATAATCTTAACTCCATTAACCCCTAACAACACATTTCTATAGGGTTTTAAGGTTTACAAAACACCAGGTTAGGTAACGCAGGTAGTTTCATTCCCATTTCATTGATGAGAAAACCAGAGGCTCAGAAAGGAGATGTGACTTGACTGCTTCAAAGAGTCACTCAGGGTCAGACTTGGGTCTTCAGGCTTCAAGGTCTGTGCTAGTTTGTGCTGTGCTATCTCTTAGAAGAGGCTGAACACCTGCAAGGCAATGCCTAACAGACAACTCCATTTTGTACCAACAAACTGTATATAACTACTAATAAGCTGTTAATGAAAAAAAGCTGCAAAACATGAAGATTAGAAAATGAGTTTGGGCTGTGCTCAAAAAAAGTTAATTTCCCCGAGTTGAAAATTCTGCCTTTCTAAACTACAGGCCCTATTTACATATCTGAAAACGACAGGCTATGAGGCTTTTAAGTGTACATGCAATTTCTTCCCCTTGGGCCATCTTCACAACAGCATATAATTCAGTTATCCATCTAAAAAAAAAATTCCAATCCCCGAAGAAGGAGAGTAAGATACAACAGAGCAGAAAATAAATTTTAAGCCTTGATGTTTTTTAAAGGCATAGGTCTTCCTCAGTATTCAAACTGCTTCCCAAGCTTCCTTGAAAAGCTGGCACTCCTACTACACCAAGTAGTCTCCAGTACATATTGTCTAAGAGAGGTGACATGACTTAATAGGAAAAAACAGCCTGAAAACCTCGGTTCAAGTTCTGCCTTTGACCCATACTGGTAACATAAGTAACCCTGGCCCAACCGCTGAACCTTTTAGTGTCTCCAAGAATTCAAGGTGCAGAGGTGTTGACCTACATTGGTAATAGGAGTCTCCTCACCTCAGGGCTGCCTATAACAAAGAAGTCCCTTGCCTGGTGCTGAACCCCAAACCGTTGTCTATAAAATACATTAGAATTAAAACTGATACAAGTACTGAACTAGTCACTGGAAGACGACCTTCCAGGGTTCATACCGGAAAGGAAGTCTAAGCTGCCAAAGGAAGTCTGTGCCAGGGAAACACCGAAGAAGAATAAAATACTTTGGACCTGTCACTGACAGATCAAAAGCTCTGGTTTACAAGATGTCAGGAACAAATGATGCACATCAACCTTTTCACCAAAAGTGGCATGACTGCTTCTAGCTTGCTTCTGCTTTGCATAATTAAGCCTTCATAACTCCTAGACATACATCCATCAAAATAACCTTCAGATGTGTCAAAAACAATTTGGCTTGTTTCATTTTAAAAGGAAAAAAAATTCATCAGCAAGCACTGAAGTGCTTCCTGAGTGCCAGGCACTGTGCTAAGCACTGAAGATTCAAAGAAAAAGAAGCCAAAACAGGAAGGGAAAAAAATGGGCTTTAGAAAACTCATTTTATTATGGGCCTTTTAAAAATCCCAGTTTATTTGTCTCTCCCCTAGTAAAGGAAGCAGTAAGTCAGCAAGCACTCTTAGTTCTTTTTAAACAAATTAAAGCAACAGGGGAACCTGCAAAGGTCTGGAGGTCAAACCAAGGACTTTTGGAAGCAGTTTTCAGAAGCACATTTCCTATCTCGAAAGGGAAATCCTATTATTATGTCCATTCATTTTCCAGATGAAGCTCAGAACTGTGCAGGGAGCTAGGACACCGTCAGAGGCAAGAACTGAAGTCTCGATTGTGAGCTCCAAGGTGGAGGCTCAAATTCATCACCTCCCACTGTCTCTGCTCTGCACAGCAGGATTCCCTTTGGAGAGAAATGCTTCAAAGGATCTAAAGTCAGCAAAAAGCAACCAAAATGCTCCCTGAAAACCCCAAAGTAAATGCCTTCCCTGGGACCCACTTCCAGACAGACACGTGCAGACAGTTTCAAGAGAAATAAGCCATAGTTATACAAGACACTTCCCTGCTTGGTCTAATAATCATGTAAGAACCCGAAATTTTATCTGATCATTCATAGTAACATCTTTTTCAAGGAAGGGTTTGGGGTTGTTTGTTTTTTGTTACACTAGTGGAAGGGGGAGAAAGAAGTGCCAAAGTAAGAATGGGAGGCAGGAAATCTAGAGAACGTTACTCCCTCCAGACAGTTACCAGATGCTGGGGCAAAGAGGGACAAAGAAGGGGGGAGGGCTGCTCACCAGGGAAGCAGAAGGGATGGTGGAGGTTGCTGGGGCAGAAGTAGTGGGTAGAAGATAAAGACCGCTGAACTAAGCCTCAGAAATCCTGGGTCTGAATCTCATCTCTGCCCTGAATTAATCTGGGACCACAGCCAGGATGGCTTTCCGCTTCCACATCAATGAAGATGGATTCCAAACAACTACCCTAAAACGTGGTGGAGTGGAAAATCCCGAGGTTCCAAACTCCACTCTGCTCCTTGCCACCTGTTGAGACTTTGGAGGAATTACTTAACCTCCTTAAGCCTGATTTCTTCCCTGTAAAAGAAGAGGGATGGACTAGACAGTATCTAAGCCCTTCCACTCCAAATAAACTTTGGGCAAACATCTTGCCCACTTGATGCCTCAGTTTATCCATCTACAAAATTAGAGCCTTGAACTATAGTCTCAAAGGTTCTTTACAGTTTTAAATTCTATGATGCTGCAACCTCCCAGAGTGGCAGTGAGAAAAGCAGATTTGTAAACCAGAAAGAAAACAGTCTATACTGGAGAATTATACCCACATGCCCAGCCTTGAGCAGGAGAAAGAAGGGAAGGACTGAGGTACGGCGTTGTGAGTAGGAGGACAGAGAGATTAATGGGAGGCACTAAATTTGAGTCAGAAGACCTGGGCTTAAATCTTGGTTCTTTTGCTTACTACCTTTATTTCCTTGGATAAATTCTTTCCCCTGCAAGAGCCTTAATTTCTCCAGGTGTTAAAAGAAGTCAGACTAGAAGATATCTAAGTGCTTCCAATATCTTTTCTCATTTAAACCTCCAAACAACCCTGTGTGATAAGGCAGTATTATCACCATTTGACAGATAAGGAAATTCCCACAGCTATTATCAGAAGCTGTCTTCCCTATATACCAAGTCCAGCACTCCACCCACAAACACCACACTGCCTTATACCGTTGGATAAAACACACCCAAGGACCATCTCTTTAAAAAAAAAAAAGAATTTCGACCCAAACCTTTCTAATCCAAGGTCAGCACCCTGGCCCTGAGTCTCAAGTACTAGGAAGCCTTCTGGAGGGTCAGCCTGACTGATAGCCTTCTTCTAGACAACCTGGAGGAAACTGGAGTTCTCTCTCTAGGCCCCCTTGTCCTTCCACTGAGATGGTAAAAGTAATGATAGCTGGCATTTACATAACTTGAAAGTTTGCAGAACACTTGGTGGCTAGTACATGCACCTAAGCCTAAGTTTCTGTAGGGGGTGATGCTAAGGGAGGTCCCTTTCTTTCCAGCTCTGGAGTTATGGAACTCTGACCCACATAAGAGGATGTTCTAACACATATTACAGTTTCCTAAATGAATTTTATCTCATGGAGCCTTACAACAACCCTATGATGTAGGTACTATTATTATCCCCATTTCACAGAGGAGGAAAGTAAGGCTCAGGGAGGATACAATGACTCCCTCAGGGTCACACAGCTAGTCAATGTCAGGAGGGAGATGAAGCCAAATCCTCTGGCTAGGTGACATGCATCCCTCAGCTCACATACGTCTCATCACCACCCTGTGACCCCTTCTACATGCCACCCTCGCCCCTCACATTTCACAGAGAAGAAAACTGAGGCTCAGGGAGATTAAGAAACCTGTGTGATCCAGGGTCACCCCAGCCTCCTCTCCCTTCTTAGCCAGCCAGTTAAAAAACTGTACAAAAGCCCTTCCTCAGCATTACCTCACTGGATCCCAAGAGGTTGGCCCAGAGGAATCCCATCAAAGCTCTTCTCCGGAATTACTTTGACAGTCTTCCAAGGAGGATACTCCAGTTAGTGTTAGCATCATCATCATCATAGTCTCCATTTCACAGAAAGAGGAAACTGAGGCCCCCAGAGGCACAGTCTCATAGCTAGTTAATATCAAGAGATGGGAATGTGAAGACTGGTCTTCTGACTCTAACAGCTGGATGTCTCAGTGGACAGCTCAGCTGGACCTGGAGCCTGGAAGACCTGAGTTCAAAGCCAACCTCAGCCATTTGTTGTGAGACCATGGGCCAAATCTGCCGGCCTCAGTCTCCCAATCTGTAAAATGGAAATTATAACAGCACTTGAGCCCTAGAATGGCTTGTGAGGATCAAATAAGATTAGTATTTGTAAAGTGCTTAAAGAGATATCTAAAGGCCAGCTGCTGTTACCATTATCACTATTATTGTTATTGTTATTATCATTAGCTCCAGCTCCCCTTTCCCAGCTGCTGACACTGGCCTGTTCCCAACAGCTCATTTGAACTTCACAATGAGGCAGGTACTATTACTACTACTATTCACACAGGGGGAAACTGAGGCTAGAGGAGGCTATAGGGACTCACCGTGGCACTCCAAACTAACTTCTGACTAGAGTCAGAGGAAGAACGCCGGTCGGTCAGTGAGCACTCATTAGGCGCCCACGGTATGTCAAGCCAGACCCTCCGCATCTAAGCCCAGCTCCTTCTCCCCAGGGGCCGACACGGCCTCGCCTGTCAAAGGTGGGCGCGGAGGCTGGGGGAGGGGGGG